CCCGATGCGGGACTCGATCCCGGGACTCCAGGATCATGACCTGAGCCGAAGGCAGTCGCTTAACCAACTGAGCCACCCAGGCGCCCAAGCCTCATGTAATTCTTAGAAACAGCCCTATGAGGTTGGGATGATTATTATCCCCATTTCACAGATGAGGAAGCTGAGGCTCAGAAAGGGGAAGGGAGTGCACTCATTTATGCATTCATTTACCTGATTCTGTAAGTATTTATTGAGACTTCCCATATGCCAGGTCTGCGACCCTGGATAAAAGAAATGTTCTGGAAGCTCTCAGGTTCAGAGCAAGGCCTGGGGATAGGAAGGTGGGGACCTCCAGTGCAGCTGTGACCCAGTCCACTGACCATTGTATAGATAACCAGGAGCAAGGTCCTTGGTAAACAGAAGGGGTCCCTGAGGCTCAGAGAGGTACAGCTACTGCCTAGGATCACACAGCAAGTTAGCAGTAGAGTCAGAATCCAGATCTCCCCCTTGGACCCCAAACTAAAATTTAACACTCAGGCTGAGGTCCTGTGTTCCTGTCTTGGCTTCTTTCTGACCTCAGCAGTGAACAAACAGCCAACCTATATTCATTCTAGCAGGGAGAAACAGACAATAAGCAAAACTAATACATAAGTAGATAATATAGGGTGTTAGATGAAGGAAACCCTGGGGAGAAGCTGACAGTTAAACAAGGCCCTGAAGGAAATGAGGGAGTTGAAGATGTGGGTATTTGGGAAGAAAACGTGCAAAGGAGTGGAAATGGTCAGTGCAAAGGCCCTGAGGCAGGAGTGTGTTGGAGACATTAGAGGAGCAGCAAGGAGGTCCATGAGCTGGAGCTGAGTGAGCAAGGAGGGGCACGGTCGGGGATGGTCAGAGAGCTTAGCAGGGCAGAGTTCAGATCATGACCAGCGCCTGTTATTTGTACGTACATCATAGGGGAATCGTGGACATTAAGCAAGATACTTAGTATTAGGAGCCTCAGGCAGGCACACGCTAGGTGCTCAGTAAGTGTCCTGTCCATTCTCTGCTTGGGTTCTCCCCGCTCCGCGCCCCATATTTAAAAATCATCTTTAAGCAATTCTGCCCCCTGGTGGTGGTTTTGATGTGCCTCCCAGCACAGGTCTGATGCTTCCCAGGCTGGCTTGGGCTGGCGGGGCCCCTTCCTCAACCTCACGTGTTCCTGATTCTGCTCATGAACATGTTCTGGGGTCTCGCTCTTCTCCACTTTAGGATCTCACTTTAGGAAGTCTTTTTAAATTGCCAGCACTATCATAAAATAACAGAAATACAAGAAAACTATTTTCCACAGTCCTATCCCCCAGATCAAATCAGTGTTGTCATTTATCATTGCTTGTTGAGTCTACGGCATATTTGAGTGGTAGAGACCATGGACTGTTACACGGCTGTTCAAAAGCATATCATTCACAAACGGTTTTTGAGCATCTGGTATGTAAGAGGTGCTAGGAGCCCAGAAGTGAACGTGGACAAAATCTCAGCCCTCCTGGAGCTTACATTCTGGTGGGATGCCAGGCAATACACGAGATAGCAAGTATGCCAAATAGTACCAAATGCTGTAAAGAAACATAAATCTGGGAAGAGGATTGAGGGATTGTTCAAAGGCCTCATAGAGAAAGAAGATGACATTTGAGTTAAATCTGAAGATGGAAGTGAGCCATGGGGAGATGGGGAGTGGGCAATAATTCCTGGTACAGAGAACAGCATGTGCAAAGGTCCTGAGGCAGGACTGTACCTGGTATGTTCAAGGGGCAGCAGGACGCCAGCATGGCCAGAACTGAGCAGATGAAGAGGAGAGTGGAAGGAGGGAGTTGTCAGGATTGGTAGGGGCTATGCGGGTCATTGTGCGGACTTTGCGTGTACAGCGAGGGAGACAGGGGTGGTGGGAGGGTTTTGTCTGGAGGAGGGAGGTGATCTGACATATTTAAAAACCTCCGTCTGGTTAGACTGCAGGGGAGCAAGGGTGAAAGCAGAGAGACCAGGGAAAGAGGCAAGCCACTAGAATTCCTTTTCTTTCTTTCTCTCTTTCTTTCTTTTCCTTCCTTCCTTCCTCCCTTCCTCCCTCCCTTCCTTCCTTCCTTCCTTCTGTCCTTCCTTTCTTTCTTTCTTTTTCTTTTCTTTTCCTTCCTTCCTTCCTTGCTTTCTTCCTTCCTGCCTTCCTGCCTTCCTTCCCTCCCTCCCTCCTTTTCTTTCTTTCTCTCTTTCTTTTTCTTTCTTTCTCTCTTTCTTTCTCCCTCCCTCTTTCTCTCTCTCTTTTTCAAGATTTTATTTATTTATTTGAGAGAGAGAGCGGGGGGAGGGGCAAAGTGAAAAGCAGACTTCCTGCTGAGCAGGGAGCCCACTGATCCCAGGACTCTAGGATCATGACCTGAGCTGAAGGCAGAGGTTTAACTGACTAAGCCACCCAGGGGCCCCTGCCATTAGAATTATAGATGAGGGAGGTGTGCGGGCCAGATGGTGGCAGAAGAGGAGGAGGGAAGGGCTGGATTGTGTTCTGCTTAAGGTAGAAGCACCAGATTCGATGCAGGCTGGGGAGCTTGTCCATGATACATCCTTAAGCCAGGCAAGCAAGGTCAAGAAATGTGATCCCTTTTTTGTATAACATATTGAAAAAAGAAGTCTCTTTCTCTGTGTGTGTGTGTTTGCACATGGTTACCCATGCTAGGGAAAGGTGGAAAGTGCCCAGAGTATATAAGACATCGTTCTGACTTTGGACAAGTCCCCCGCCATTGAACTTGCTAGGCCTCAGCTGCCCCATCTGTGAAATGGGGCCACGGCCGTGCCTGAGACAGCGTCGAAATCCCCACAGGCACAGGCAGCTTATGGTAATGTCTCCTCCCACAGCTCTGGGACTCCAGCTCCCGAGACCTGCTCCCTAGTTTGGGCCACCTCAGCCCCTCCCTCTGCTAGTATGGGGTGGTTTGAAAATGCCCAGCGCTCATTTCAGGACCTGCTGAGGATTAGACAGTCCGTGTTGAGCACGAGGTGACTGGGGCAGTGGTTCTCTGGCGCACGAAGCAGCCGAGGCGCTTGTTGAAATGCAGATCCCACATCTTCAGAGGTGCCACGTTCTCAAAGACTCTGAGATGTGGAGGAGGTCAGGGCCCAGGAGCCCTGTGTTTAAACAAGCACCTGCCCCCACCAGAGTCTGACCCCCAGGTGGTCCAGGCCCCACACTTCGGGAAACACTGGGCTGAGGGAGGGGCTGGCCAGCTCCTGGTCATATTTGGAACCCGAGGCTGGGCGTCTTCGGTGGAGATTTAACCTCTCTGAGTCCCGGGATGTGAGGTGAGGGTCTTTAGTTCCCTTTGGCAAGTGGAGCTCTCTTGTTTGACTCTTTTTAGCGAGGAGGAGCAAGCAGGGCCTTCCCGGTCTGGGGGAGGATGCTTTGCGTGAGGAGGGGATGGACTCCTTGGGATGATAGTCAGGATGGACAGCCGAGTTCCTAGAGGTAACTGGGGGCTGGGGCCCGGAAGTGGGGACAAAAGGAGACCCGTTCAGAGGAATGTCATGAGGCTCGGACAGGGGCGGGATGCCAGCTGACAGTAGGCATGAAGTGACCCTGTTCTCTCCCTCCTGGGCCAGGTCCGGTGGGAGGCGAATGGCCAAGGTCGTACGGGACTTCCTGAAGGCCCAGCAGGTGCAGGCGCCCGTGGAGCTCTACTCCGATTGGCTCTCTGTGGGCCACGTGGATGAGTTCCTGAGCTTTGTGCCCACCTCTGACCAAAAGGTGTGTCCCCTCTCCTCCTGCCTGAGCCACCCCTGCCCCTCCCCAACCTGATGGGAATGGTTAGAGCAAAGCCGCCTGGAACCAGCTCACCGCCTGTGTCTGTAGGGAGCTCGGAGTCAGGGCACTCTGGGAACCAGATGGTGTTAACCGGCGGGGGGGCTTCCTGGAGGAGGTCAGAGCTCAGGTCAGGAGGGTACTGATTGGCTCCTCTACTCATACGCTCATTCTCACACTTGCTGGGTATGTGCTTTGATCCAAACCTCTCAGCCTAGACCCAGGAATGACACTGATAATAATAATTGGTAACATTTAGCGAGCACCTACGATGTGCATGTGTTTTAATTCATTTAATCTTCCAACAATTCCATGAGGTGGGTACTATTATCATTGTCCCCATTTTACGGATGGGAAAACTGAGGTCCAGAAGGGCAATTACAGGTAAGATTCAAACCCAGACAGAGGACTCAGGACCAACATCTTAACCACTCAGCTCCACCGCTTTGCAGAGAGGGCCTCTTGCTCAGAGAGCAAGCAGCCTGGGAAAGGAGGCCGACCAGTGACCAGTGGCTGAGTTCCCTGGTAGACAAGGGCATCCAGGCAGAGAATGTCTTGGACAAAGGCCTGGGGGTGTGAACCAGCTTGGTGGGTTAGGGGAATTGCGGAGAGTTCTCTGTGGCTGGTAGGTGGGACCCACGTGTGGTCTGGCCTCTGAACTCGGGCCCCTCCTGAAGTTTGGGGTCTCCTGCATCTAGGGGGAACCCATCCACTGAAATATTCTCCCTCCCTCTGCTAGGGCTTCCGGCTGCTCTTGGCGAGCCCCAGCGCTTGCCTCAGACTATTCCAAGAGAAGAAAGAGGAGGGGTATGGGGAGGCCGCCCAGTTTGATGGTGAGTGCCAATGACCCAGTCCCCCTGTGGGGACCCTGCGCTCTCACTGCCAGCCCTGGGCTCCAGGGATGCCTTTCGTGGCTAATGCTCTATTTATAGGCCCTTTGCCTTGCTCAGATCCCTCCGCTCAGAGGTGGACATCACTAATTCTCCCAACACACTCTCCTGGGAGCTGTCAGGCTGTCCCTGTATTGGGTCCAGGCAGGAAAGCCAAGAGGCCAGTGGATTGTCCCAGGCACACGCAGGGGGTGACCTCCACAGTAAGAGTGGGCAGCTCCTGGCCACATCCCAGGAGAGGAAAGCCACCGGAAACAATGTGCACCCTACTGATCTTGTACCCTCCCCCTTATCCCTTTCCCCAGAAGCTCAGAGAGGAGTGCCTGGCCCAGGGCTATCCCCAGGATGCGGCAGGGCTTGGGGCTCAAGAGTGGGGGGGGGGCGGTGGGTGAGAAGCCAGATGGGTGGTCAGGCCCCCTCTGTGGACCTGCCTCTGGGAATTGACAGACCATCCAAGGGCCTGGCTGGCCGCCTTGAGCACCTCTCCCTTTCCACCATAGATCTCAGTGTTCTCACCTGAGAAACGGAGCACTGGAAGGGATGTGGCAGAGCTTCAAGACCTAGGTTCCAATCAAGGTTGCGTTCCAAACCGCTCAGTGCCTCAGTTTCCTCTTCTCTGAGGTGCGGGTGATAATTAACCCACCCATCATTGTTTTAAAGATTAATCATAAATTTAGTAGGGTGCCAGAGCATGGTGGGTGTTCAGTAATGGTAGCTGCCCTGTAATTATACAGCACTGAGCCAAGAGTCCCTTCCCGAGGAGCCTGTGCTCCATCCTCGGGATGTCCTTGCAGCCAGAGCCTGGGTCCCACGGGGTCTCCAGTCTCTGGCTTTCTCTGTCTGGGCCTAGCTTCAGCCCCTGGCACTGAGGTGGGAGAAAAATCCTGGCCCAGATTCTGCCGCTCCAGGCCCAAGATGGCCCTGGGCAGTCCGCCCTGAGCCGCCGTCCTGCCTTTGTTCCCTCGCAGGGTTAAGTCACCAGGTGAATAGAAGCATTAATGAGATGCTGGCGGACCGTAGTCTCAGGAGGGACAGTCTCTATGTACAGGTGAGGACTCTTGGGGGGGTCCCCCAGCTCCCAGGAGAAAGAGCCCCAGGAATTGCTGGGGCAGGGGGCAGGGCCTCAGCCCCGGGCCTCTGACTGTCCTGGGGGCTGCCGAAACCTGTGGGTAGGGTAGGGCCTCTGCAGTGGGAACCCACAGTCTGATGGAGGAGACACAGCAGTACTCTCAGGGAGCTCCCAGTCTGATGAGGGAGATCTAGCTCTGAGGAAAGGACGAGTTTCCGGGGAAGCAGAGTGAGAGGAGAGACATGTGGTGGAGAAATGGGGCCCCGTCGGGGAGAGGGGTAGGGCAGGTGGGAGTCAAGGGGATCGGACAAGGAGGACAGGGGGGGCAGGGGCGGGAAGAGGTCTCTGGAAGGGGCAGGGCTAATGCCCACCTCGTGCAGGGTGCAGGGCCTTGTGCGGAGCTGTGCTCAGTAAATGGAGGAGGCCCTTCCCTTCTCCTGAGTGGAGCCTGGCACTGTCTCTTGACCTGCAGAGGTGGGGAAGGGTACAGGTCACCCCGGGGCTGGGGCAGTGTGTTGTAGGGGCAGGCACTTTTGGAAACAGGAACTGGGTCCAAATCCCAGCTCTGCTGCTTCCTCGCTCTGTGCCCTTGGGCAGGTCCCTTGAGCCTCAGTTTCCCTATCTGGGAGTGGCGGTGGCCCACAGCTGTTGGGAGGATCGAAGGAGCGCAAGGGTGCAGGGGGCTGCGTGCAGGGCCTGACACGCAGTCGGCGTTCAGCAAGCGGTAGAGCCCCCTGGCTCCCTGGGTGCGCCCGCTGCCTCTCCCCCTGCCCCCAGAAATGCATCGACTGGAACCGGGAGGTGCTGAAGCGGGAGCTGGGCCTGACCGAGCGGGACATCGTGGACATCCCCCAGCTCTTCTCCCTGAAGGGCTCCTATGCAGAAGCCTTCTTCCCTGACATGGTGAGAGCGCAGAAGAAGGTCATTTCCTGTCCCTGGGGCCCGGCAGGGTCTGGAGGGGGTGTCAGTCGGGGTTCCAGAGGAGAAGCACTTCCTGTCGTCCGAGGGCAGCCGGGCACAGAGACTGGGGTGGGGAGGGCTTGCGGACCTCTTTAGCGCGTGTTTGCTTTCTGTGCAGGTATAGAGCATCCCCATCAGTGGTTCTCAACCAGGGCGGTTTTGCCCCCCGAGGGCATTTTCTTACTGCTACGAGGATGGGGGAACTGCTGGCATCTCATGGATGTGGGCTGGGGTGCTGCTGAACCTCCTTCCTTGCACGGGGCAGCCCCGCAACTGAGGGCGGTTTTTTTTTTCTTTTCTCCCAAGTGGAAAAAGGAAGAGTCTTTTGGTTTCAGTGTCTCAGGCTTCCTTTTTGGGGCCTCGGCTGTCTGCTGTGGCCTGCACCCTGGCCCCCCACGGGCTGCTCCCCAGTGTGGCTCCCCGGGCGAGCAGGCGGGCCCGCGGTGGCTGCCTCCCCGGCTGTCGTTAAGTCGGGCAGCTGACAAGCAGATGCCCAGATGTGATCTCGCCGGGGTGGCCCCTGGGAGGGGCCGGGTGATGTTATGAGCACAGCGCTGGCTGAACCATTAACACCTTGGGAAGGGATGACAGGGTGTTGGCGGCTTGTGGACGGACTCCCCAGGATGGGGGACCTTCCCTTTTCAGCCCGGGGCCTTTCACTCGCATCCCTGTCACTGGACAAGCCACGGGGTGGGGGTGAATCCTGAGGGCCTGCCTGGGGGCCTGTGTGTGGGGCAGGGCTTCCCTGTCAGGATTTGCACTCACACCTGACGCCTCACTGAGGGGTCCTGGCAGAGACCTCTAAGGCAGGGCTTCGTGACCTTGGCTCTACCGATGTTTGGGCCTGAATCCTTTGTCGTGGGGGCCATGCTGTGCTTTGTGGGCTGCCTTTTAGCATCCCTGTCTCCTGCCCACGAGATGCCCCTGTAAGCGCCACTCCTCTCACCTCGCCAACCAGAATGTCCTGGGGGCAAAATCACCCCGGCTGAGAACCACTGTTCTGGGGCGGGCTGTCTGTTAGAACTTTCTCGGATGGTGGAAATGTTCTGGGTCTGCACAGCATGGGAGCCACCACGCCACATGGGCTGCTGAGCACTTAAAATGTGGCCAGCGTGGCTGAGGAATGAACCTTATACTCTAACTTAATTTAATTTCCAACAGCCACATGTGGCCAGTGGCTGCCATATTGGTCAGGGAAGCACTAAGGGGCACCCAGGCTCTGGTTCTGGCTGAAGTCCCATGACTTTGGCCAGCCCTCTTTTGGAAGCCCCACCCCAACACACACCCCTCTGTGAGAATCTCTAAGCCTTCGGGCCAGACCCCGCTAAAGGAGCCCAGGATGTCCTAACTGGAAGAGCCCCATAGGGAACACTCACTTAACCCCCTCATTTGTCAGCTGGGGAAATAGGACCTCTGAGCAGAGTGGTTGACTTGCCTGAAGTCACCCAGCAAATGCAGAGCCTCCAGTCTCCTGAGTTCTCGTCTCCTCTCCCGGCCCTCTGTCCCTCCACCTGCCCCACTTCCACCCAGCACATTCTGGCCCACTAGTGGGCAGTGGGGTAGCTCAGGGCCAAGGCCATGGGACTGACCCCAGAGGACCCACCAGCTTCATGTTGGTCCCAGCAGCACATGGCCCTGCAGGCAGACTTGAGGATGAGGGGCCACAGCATGGAGAATGTGAGAGCGTGGAGTCTGGGGCAGTCCACCCCACGTTGAGATGACCCAGCACCACCCTCAGGACAGCAGGTCCAGAGAGTCCCCTTTGAACACCAAGGACAGCTCCTCTGGCCATCAATATGGGGCCGAGGTTTTCTCTGAGACCCTTCCATACCCTGCCCTGGGGACACTTTCCTTCCCCAGGGTTAGGGCTCTCAGCCAGGGGAGGAGAAGTGCCTCTGGAGAGTAAGATGCCCCCAAGGGCTCCTAGCCCCCTCCCCCAACTCCCCAGCTCCCCACTGCGGAGGCAGGGCTACAAACTCCAGTGGAATATAAAGAGCATGACTTTGGGCATGAGTTAGATCCACGTCAAATTTTAGTCTCTCCATTCTCTCTCTCGCTCTCTTTTTTTTTTTAAAGCTTTTATTTATTTATTCATGAGAGACAGGGAGAGAGAGGCAGAGGGAGAAGCAGGCTCCCCGAGGAGCAGGGAGCCCAATGTGGGACTCGATCCCAGGAACCCAGGATCACGACCTGAGCCGAAGGCAGACGCTTAACCTACTGAGCCACCCAGGCACCCTCGTCTCTCTGTTCTCTGATTGTGTGGCCTGGATTATGTTATTTAACCTTCCCCAGCCACTGACTCAGAGGGAGGCTGTGAGGTTTAGTGATGATGTATCTGGCAGACAGGGGATGTTCAATAAACCGTAACACTTATTAGGGCTTCCAGGGATAGCTGAGCAAGCTGTGCACTGCACAAGGGCACCACACCTATAAGGACATTCACACCATAGACCTTGTAGATATTTGTTGTACAAAGTTTCTGGCAGCTGATGGCAAAATCTTGCTCTAACTAAATTGTTAGAATATGACAATATTCTGATAGATGGAAGAAAGTATTGGAGGAATACTTTCATTCATATAAAAGAGCCATGTATGTTCCTGGCAGCCCTACTTGGTATTAATTCTCTCTTCCAACCACGAATCCATTTCTTCTCACCACAGACCCTAGTTTTTGAGCAAGTGCCAGTCCTAGCGGCCCAGGGATGCTGACGAGGATGGGACAGACCTGCAGACAGGGCCCCCGAAATGTGTAGAGCATCCCCGGGGCAGCAAGTCTTCCCTCTTGCCTTCTCTCTTCTACAGGTCAACATGGTGGTCTTAGGCAAGTACCTGGGCATCCCCAAGCCCTTCGGACCCATCATCAATGGCCACTGCTGCCTGGAGGAGAAGGTGCGGTCCCTGCTGCAGCCGTTGGGCCTCCACTGTATCTTCATCGACGACTATTTGTCCTACCACAAGCTGCTCGGGGAGATCCACTGCGGCACCAATGTGCGCCGGAAGCCCTTCTCCTTCAAGTGGTGGCACATGGTGCCCTGAGCCTGCCTCCACCCGCCATCCCCTCTTCCCACCTGCCAGGGAGCCCCGCCAGGGTGAGGGCGAGGAACCTCCACCCGGCCTCCATCCTCTTAGGGGAGCCTCGGGCGCTTCTTCCCGAGGGCCTGCAAACGTGCTGGCCACCGCAGGCCCGGGGATACGGCGGTGGGCATCACACACCCTCACCTCTGGAGTGGCCTCCCCGGCCCAAGGAGGACTGTCTTCATTCCTCCCTCCCTCTTCCTGACCCGACACTCCCAGAGGTTCTGGAAAAGGGCAACAGTCTTAACCTGTTCACGGCCGGCCGTGCGTGGTCACAGCAGGCGCCCCACTTTGAGTAGCTTCCCCTCTGTTCTGATACTCCTTTCGTGTCGGCACCAGGAATGGGGCCCAGAGGGCCTGGGCTCCGGGGTGGGGGCCTGGGCCTAGGGCACCTGTGGTTCTCAGAAGAGCGGGAGCAGGGAGGTGAGGCAGCCTCCTTTCTCTACCAGCTGTCCTCTCCTGCAGGCGACCCTCAAGTGTGACCTCCTGGTGCCCCTCAGCCACATTTATAGAGGCAGATAAGGACAGGAAAACCCAGCATCCGAGGGCCTGTTTTAAAAAGAAAAAGCAACAAAACCCCTGTAATACCTGACTCCATCCTCAGAAGGGTGCTTGTTACCTGGTTAGAAAGCCTTTAATTATGAGTGCTGGCTGCTTCCGGCCCCCAAACGCTGTGAAGCCAGAGAGAGGCCTCAGGGGGGCACACAGAGGCAGGCTGGCGGGAGGCCAGGGTGGTGGAGGAAGCCGAGGCCTGAGGACGAGCCGTGGGGCCTGGCCTCCGTGTCCTAGGTGTCCCCACTTCGGATTTTGGACTCTGGATGCGAAGGGGGGGGGCTGGCCGTTCCAGATGTCACAGGGGGCAGGGGCCCAGATGTTAGGAGAGGGAGGGGGGGCATTAGGTTATCTCTGAAGGTGGGGTTTAATTTCCTTTAATTGTCTTTAATTATTCCCCTTGGCCCTGCAGGCAGTGGAAGGGAAGGCTCGCCCAGTCCCTCTCGGCAGCCCGGAGACCCTGCACGTAGCCTGGGTTTCCCCTGTAGAGTCAACCCTGTGGCAGGCCTGTCCCCCCCCTGCCCCCCCAGCCCCCCAGAGGGGAGAAGAGACCTGCCAGGGGGGCTGGAGGCTGGTTCAGGCCGGCCCCGGGTGAGGCCACCGGGACGGGCACGGGCAGGCAGGCTTGGCCAGTGCCGGGTGAGAGGTGGTCTCTGCCTCAGGCAGGCACGGGCATGAGGGAGCCAGCCTGCCCCCTCCCCGCCACTGCCTCTGGGGCCATCCTGGTGGCTCTCAGCCCCCGGCCTCCACCAGTGGGGTTTTCAGTGGCCCCTGGTAAGACTGCGACTGGGCCAGCCAGCCACTGTTAAACTCTGTGAACCACGGAACACTTGGCAGTCAGAAACTTCCATGGAAACTGGACATCTGAAGCAGACAAAACAGAACTGCTCTGGTTTAAGATGGCGGGGGTTGTGTATCTGGGTTCTCCCCTTCCAGAAGACTCTGGGGACCCCATTTGCAAGCCCCTGGTCTAAACTTTGCACTTTCTGCTCATAACCACGACCCAGCCTAGACCGAGCCAAGGCGAGAAGGGAAGCTCTTCGGGGGCCAAGGGCCTGCAGCCAGTGTTGAGATTCCCCAGGGAAAGGCTATGCGGGGAAGGCAATGGGCGTTGCAGACGGATAAGGAGGGTGGGGAGCAGGCCATCTAGAGCTGCCCTGAGTGTGGGAAGCTCTGGAATTGCTGCTAGAGTTGTCAGAGGGCCCTGATGTCCCCTCTGAGGATGTTCCGGATGACTGATCACCTCCTACCTGATTAATAAAAACGTCAACATGCATTTCTTCAAGTGGCTGCCTCCTTAGCTTCTGTTTGTTGGGCTGTAGGGAGGAGGGGAGGAGTGAGGGGGGCCCTCCTTCCAGTTCCACCCACCATGCCCCAGCTCCTTGGCTCAACTTCTGCTGGCCGTGGGCAGCTCCTACCTGGCTGGGAGAGCCCCCAGGGCCAGTGCCAGGCAGGCAGGCAGGCTGATTCAGCAGGATGGCTGGCACAGACCCATAGCTCTGCCCCGCTGAGATGGATATCAGGGGATAGGTAGGTCCTACCTCTTCCTTCCCTGGGCTATCTATCTCTTCCATCTCTCAGATGCAGGTGGGCTGGGCCCTATTGGCAGAGGTAGGAGATTCTCCAGTGGGACTCATGCCCGGGGCCAGCAGATGATTCCCTTTCATTCCTACCTCTAAAGCTACCAGGTTACCCAGCCTCCGTGTTCTGATTTCAGGAGCCTGAAAATAACACCCCTCTCATCCTACACACTGGTTCTGCCTTGGATTGTGCCCTTTGACACTCACTCACTTACTCACTTTATTTTACCTTTTGTTGTGGACTAAAAGGCAAAAAGTTGCTGCCTATCAGTCATTGACCCTTTAGGCTGAATGAACCACAGATGTGTTTCTGGTATTAACCAGGGAGAGGTGAAGACCCGGGTCTAATTCCAAAGGGAGATGGCAGGGCTCTAAGCTGGAAGCTGGTCCTGCCCCCAGCACAGGAGGCCAGTGCCCAGGGGGAAGCCCCCACTTTCTGCACCGATTCCCCAGCTGTGCTCATAAGCAGGTAGGGAGACTATTTGGGGCTTCCTTCTGAGTCCTGACTCTTACCCAGAGCTGAGCTGGCCATCAAGCCATTTTCTAGCCAAAAAAGTAAAGACTGTCATTGAATCCAGCAGCCCAGCAGCTCTCCTTGAGAACATCCTTCTCAGACCCTGGGATAGAAGAGCACCAGTCTCAGAGTCCTGCTGAGATCCTTGAACTGCTGGGAGTACGCACACTGGGGACTCTGGGGAACAGGTCCTAGTCCCCCACCTGCCTCAGACAGGCAGCATCCCCAGAGAGAAGGGAGGAAGCTTCTATTCAGCACCTTTAGGGGCTGGCTGGGTAGGGTGTGTCCCCGCCATTATCTCTGCTGGGCTGGTGATTAGCCACATTTTCTACAGATGAGAAAACCAAGGCTCAGAGAGAGGGAACATAACCACCCAAGGCCACATAGCTGGGGCACGGTGGAGTCGGGATCCGGACCCAAGACCCCTCTCCCCAGAGCCCTTGCTCCCGTCGCTTCAGGTGGCTGAATGCCCCCTCTGGTCTCAGTTTCCCCATCTGACAAGTGAGCCTTCCTACCCCGATGTTCTAAGCTCTTCCTGGCCAGAGAGGGTTTAACTCGAACCACCCACCCCTTTCACAGGCTGTTGCCATGTGATAATAATGACAAGGCCAGTAATAGAATAATGCTGAGCTCCACACTAGAGATCTGCCCACGTCGTCCCATGTAAGCCCTGCAACAGCATTTTCGGAAGCGCCACGTGAGGCACAGAGCAATGGAGTGGCTCGTCCACAGCCACACAGCCAGGATGTGGTTGAGGCTGGGCTGAATCCAGTCCTGCTTCTACACTCCATGCTCTTAAGAGAAAGGCTGGTGTTTCTCAAAGTTTCTCAAAATGCTTTGGGGTGCTTATAAAAAAAAAAATCCACGTGCCAGGCGGCACCCTCTAACCGGCTGCATCAGACTGGAGGTGGGGCCTGGGAATCTGCATTTTCACCAGCTGCCCCAGCAGGGTAGAGAAGCTCCCCACTAAACTATATCATCTCTGAAAGCGCAGGAAAGGGGGTGAGGAGGAGGAGTGTGGAAAGTGAGGAAGGCGCCCAGGTCAATACCCCACATCTTTGCCTCCCCCACGCCCCCAAAGCCCTGATGCCCCAGCCAGGTGCCTGTGGGGACTTGCTCCCTTAGAGGGAGAACCTACTTCCCTCCGTGCTGGGGGCGGAGCAACAGCTTCATATGCAAATGATTGGCTTAGCTCCCGGCTCTGGGAAGGGGCTGGGCTTCCAGGACTGGAGCCAATGAGCTAGCACCCCGGGCTGGAGAGGCGGGGCCGGGGTCTTTTAAACCACACCTCAAGGGATCTGCGGGGCAGTGTTGGGTTTGGTGGCCCCAGCCCAGACCAAGGCCAGCATGTCACTGCAGAGGATCGTGCGTGTGTCCCTGGAGCATGCCACCAGCGCTGTGTGTGTGGCTGGCGTGGAGACCCTCGTGGACATTTATGGGTAAGAGCCAGAGGCCTAGAGGTCTCCAGCTGTGCAGGGCTTCCTTGGGGCTCAGGCCTGGCCCGGTTGCCCTCCCCCAAGCCAGGGGACTTGCAGTGGTTGAGCTCTGGTCCAGGGCCTTCGAGGGTGCTGGTGTCATGGGGGCTTGGGCACACTGGAGGACCCTGCAGGCTGGGTACACAAGAATAGGAAGAGGTGTGTACCCCCAGCCCTGGTCCCCAGCTTATGAACTCTGCAAAGAGCATCAATCATTTCTTTAGAAATCATTTATGTTTATGTAGCACTTCCTATGTGGCAGACACTGTTCTAAGAACAGCGTGGCAAGCTTCTTGAATTTAATCCTTGAACTTTAACGCTCCAATTTAACCTTCACAACAACCTGTGAGCTAAGTTTGTTGTCAGCTTCATCTCATTTGATGGATGAGGAAACTGGCACAGAGAGGGCAAGCCATTTGCTCAGGTCACACAGTAACTAAGTGTCAATGCCAGGATTCAAACCCATTCATGGTCAAGGGTCTTTTTTTTAAAAGATTTTTTACTTATTTATTTGACAGAGAGACACAGTGAGAGAGGAAACACAAGCAGGGGGAGTGGGAGAGGGAGAAGCAGGCTTCCCGCAGAGCAGGGATCCCGATGCGGGGCCCGATCCCCGGATCCTGGGATCATGACCTGAGCCGAAGGCAGACGCTTAACGACTGAGCCACCCAGGCGCCCCATGGTCAAGGGTCTTATGCTTTTAGTTGTCTGCCCCTTAAAGAGGAAGGATTCGGTTTCCTCCCGCCATTCAGAGCCCACATGATATGGCCCTACTGTGTGCCATGACCATATCCTTAAAGCCAGTGGCTGGAGGTAAGGCCCCACCTTCTCTCTCTCCCAGGAAGAAAAGGAGAGCTCAGGCAGGGTTTTAGGAACTGGGCTCTGGGAACCACTGGGGAGCTGGCTAATTAGCTTTTTGGGGAGT